GCATTAATCAGAGAATACTATATAATGCTATGTCCCTAAGAGGAAGAAAACATGGGTCTAGGAACCTGGACAGGAGCAGGAATGGCCACATTTGCCATCCCTTTCAAGAACTCACTAGGGAATGTTGTGTCTTTGATCCCTGAAATTCTAGGCTCTGCAGGGTTGGAAGTACTAGTCCCCAGAAGGGGCACAGTCTTGCAAGAGGACACAGAACTGTATCTGTTAGTCCCACTGATCTACAAGCCCAGGCCGCCACCAGTGTACTTTGGACTCCTTGTGTCTGAGAAGAGTCCCCATCTTGGTAGAGGTGATTGGGGCTGAACAGCAGGAGGTGGCAGGGCCGTTTTTTACACATCAGGGAAAGGTAAAACATATGTGAAGCCAAAGTGATCCATCTGGGTACCTCTTGGATAATTGTGAACGGACGTGGGCAGCAACTCTGGCCAAGAAGTATATGGCCCCTCAGAAATGAAGGCTGGGGTCACACTGCTAGGAAAACCATCAAGACCCAGGTGATAGCTGAGGGTGAGGGGAATTTAGAATAAATGGTACCGAACAGAGGAGATAGCTACCAATGTGGCCCCCAAACTAACTTTATCAATAGGGCTTGTAATTTGTGCTCCAGATTACCCCCCAGGAAACCATGAAAGAAAGATGGATGAGCTGCTCCCTAAACATGCATGGAAAGTGGGTCTGTGCAGAGCCAAGTGTAGGCTGGGTCAGCTGTGGTGCTGCACCACTCAAATCAACTTCAAGAAAACCTCAAGTGTCATAGCCAACAGCAGCCTCTAGCTGCTTCCCCATGAATGTGGAAGGCGTGCTTCCTCTGCACTGCTCAGACGACTGAGCAATAGGGTCACTAGTGTACCAGACCTGCCCCGATGGTACTCCTCTCACGGGCAGCTGTGCTCATCAACTGGACTGAGATCTTCCCCAGAGCTGACCTGTGCTCTGAGACTCTCCCTCCCAACCTCTCCTTCCCTCCATCTCCTCCCTGGGTCAGAACTGCCTGATGGCCTGAAGCCTCGCCTCGCCCACTTTTGCTCCCTTGCCCATTAGCTCTCACAGGTGTTTGTCTTGGCAGCTGCTTCTCAAACAACTCAAATGGACAGAACTCATGTATGATCTGCCAAAGACAGAACACAACAAAATAGGGGCTTGTGGAGGGAAGAAAAGGGATAATATACCAAAAAAATGTTTAGCTGTTTTCCATGATCATGGAAAGAAGTACTCATGGCAGAAGTACTCCATGGCAGGAGTATTAATATCATTATTCTGAGACTGCTATGTTTATAACGTGGAATAAGGCAAATGGCCACTTAGAGAATTTTCTAATTCTACCAATCCCTTCGCCCTTGAAAACCAGGATTCTTATTATGGAAAACAAAGATACAGATGTAACAGCTAAGAAGTTAAGTAAAAATCCTATATTACTGAATTTGAATAAAAAATTATCACTATAAAATCATGGGCCACCATACATATGTATACCTCTATCTTTATTCTATCTGAAAATATACATGTTAATTATACAGGGTGTCCACAAAGTTCATGTGCAATTTAAAATTACACACTATTTTAAATTGTACATAAAACTTTATGGCCACCGTGGATATCTGTATTTCTAGATATTTATATTAAATATATAGAAATGTTATATTTACATATAATCCAAGCTCTGTCTACTGAACAGACCTAGAAAAAATGACCTACCAGTAGCAATGAGCATCTCTGGTGCCTGATTCTGGTCTTGCAATACTATTTTCCCCTTAAGGAAACCAAGGCTTTTTGGAAAAATGGCTGATTTCAAGTCTGGGAGAGAAAGTGTATAAGATGATCTGGGAACATCTTCAAACTCCAGAAAGCAAAGAAGATGTTAAAGCAACTCAGGAGCTATCTTGAAAAGGCTCCCAGTGGCCAAAGATAGGACAATAAAGATAAATAACAAATAAAGATAATAATTACAATGGAGTGAAGCTCATCAAACACATTGAAACCTATGAGTTCATAATGTTTTTTAAAAATAGTCACCTTCTGGGCGGCACTTGTGGCTCAAAGGAGTAAGGCACTGGCCCCATATGCCGGAGGTGGTGTGTTCAAACCCAGCTCCGGCCAAAAACTGAAAAAAAAAAAAAAAGTCACCTTCTGAGGATAACAGAGAACCAGTTCATTATCTTAAAAGTTGGATAAATTGGCTCGGCGCCTATGGCTCAACCGGCTAAGGTGCCAGCCACATACACCTAAGGTGGTGGGTTCGAATCCAGCCCGGGCCCGCCAAACAACTATGACAGCTACAACCAAAAAAAATAGCCGGGCGTTGTGGCGGGCACCTGTGGTCCCAGCTACTTGGGAGGCAGAGGCAGGAGACTCGCTTGAGCCCAGGAGTTGGAGGTTGCTATGAGCTGTGATGCCACAGCACTCTACCCAGGGTGACAGCTTGAGGCTCTGTCTCAAAAAAAAAAAAAAAAAGTTGGATAAATTAAGGAATTAAGTACTTATCTGCCTTTCCTACACAAACCTTACTGGGAAATCAAATTGTGGATGAGAGGAATTGTATCCTTATAAAGTAATCCATGTAGTAAATGAAAACAAAATGGTAGATTAGGATATTACCGTGTTGCACCCCCAGTGAATTACTTGCTGGATATGGGCATTGAGCAGCAACGCTGCTAACGTCAAAAAAAGTGAAAGCCAGATATTTCATGCTTTCTGATACATGAGCATACTACTTCCTAGAATCTCATCAAAGGGATCAAACCTGAGGCAAATTGAGTCTCTAGATCTAGCTGCTAATTTGCAGGAAACACAGAGGATTAAGGAGCACACTGAATTGCATCACTGTCATGAAATTAGCAAAATCCAGGCTGTGGGAAACTACAGATCAAACAGCCTAGGTAGGTTCAACAAATTGTAAGGACAAGAAAGGGATAAAGAGGATCTTTTAAATTAAAAGAGACTTAAAAGATGCATCAAGCGTTTTAAAAAAGGACAGTGAGACTACAGTGTGTAGGAGTGTACATCTGGGTGATAAAGAAACTCGAAGCGATTACTATAAAAGTCAAGAAGTTGGAAAGAGGGAGGCAGCTGGGACTCAGATGGGGAAGGGGGGACATGGAGACTGGGGCAGGGGAGGGCCGATAAAGTTCTATTATTGATATGAATGGTGATTACAAGGGTACTCACTTTACGATAACTCACTGAGGTGGCCAGGCACAGCAGCTCACGCCTGTAATCCTAGCACTCTAGAAGGCTAAGACGGGCAGGTTGCTTGAGTGCAGGAGTTTGAGACAAACCTAAACAAGAGCAAGACCCCATCACTACCAAAAATAGAAAAAAAAATTAGGTGTTGTAGTGGGTGCCTATAGTCCCAGCTATTTTGGAAGTTGAGGCAGGAGTTTGAGGTTGCTATGAGCTATGATGACTCCACAGCACTCAACCCAGAATGACAGAGTGAGACTCTATTTCAAAAAGAAAATTCACTGAGTTCATTTGTTTGCTTCATTATTTATCAGTCCCTGAAATCAGAAAGTCTGGACAGCACTGAATTACAGCAGGTGAAGAAGCCTAGGCAGGTACAGCTACTTGCTGAGTAAACTGAATGCACTTGATTACCAGGGCTGCTAAAGAGGCCAGGCCAGGCCGGGACCTACACAGAATGCGGTTTGACATGAGTGTCCCTGAATACTGAACAACTGAATATGTGTGTTTTCTTTTAGCACACATCATTTAAAAATGATTTGCAACAAATTATGAAACAAAACACTATATAAATAAATCTTCACAGCAGAATCAGCTGTTGGAAGGAGCAGAGAAATAGGTGGCCCCAGCTGAGCCTTCATTTCTGACACACACTCACACCCATGGCTCTGCATCTGTGTATTCATTGAGTGACACGTCTCCTAAGCACCAGCCATGTTGAAGGACCTGTGAGCCTGTTAGCCCTTTCCTTATCTCTCACATTTTGGATGTGATGACCACAAACCTGCATTCTGCCGCAGCTCAGACTTGACTTTGGCACTGGACTTGTCCCAACTTCACGACCTACAGGCATTACCTCCATGCCCCTGCTTTTGCTGTTCTCGCAACATGCAATATTCACTCCTCTGACAATCCTCCACCCTAAGCAGAACTCATCGTGGTCATTCCCCCTATAGCACTTGCTGCTGAGCTCCTTGAGGAGAAGAGATCTGGGTCTCCATCATCTCCATATACCAGGAACCAGGAAAACGCTTGACACAACAGGGTAATAACTATAACTGATATTTAAATAAATAACTGACTTGGCTCCGCACCTGTGGCTCAAATGGCTAAGGCGTTAGTCACATACACCTGATCTGGTGGGTTCAAATCCAGCCTGGGCCTGCAAACAACAATGACGGCTGCAGCCAAAAAAACAGCCAGATGTTGTGGCGGGCGCCTATAATCCTAGCTATTTGGGAGGTGGAGGCAGGAGACTCGCTTGAGCCCAAGAGTTGGAGGTTGCTGTGAGGTGTGATGCCACGGCACTCTACCCAGGGCGACAGCTTAAGGCTCTGTCTCAAAAAGAAAATAAAAAAATAAATAAATAACTGACTTACCATACACTGATGTTGTTCTATATATATATACACACACACACTCATTTATTCCTTACAACCACCCCATGATGCAGGCACATTCCCATTGTGTGGATGAGTAACCTGAAGTTCGGGAAAGTTACGTAGCTTGCCCTAGGTCACAGTAGCAGAGCCAGTAGTCAATTTAAAGAGTTTGGCTCCACTGTTTGCGATCTTAACTACTGCCAATGAATTCATTTAGTCCACTGATACTGGGCACCTACCATGTGCTGGATACTATTTAGTGAACAAAGCTATCAAGTCCCACCTTCATAAAACTTAGAATTAACAAATATAGGCATGGTAATGTGGAGGCTGAGGTGGGAGGATTGTTTGAGCCCAGGAGTTCAGGTCCAGCCTAAGCAATATAGCAAGACCTTGTCTCTCTAAAAAAAAGAATTAACAGTGCTTGCTTTGGCAGCACATACGCTAAAATTGGAACGATACAGAGATTAGCATGGCCCCTGCACAAGGATGACACGCAAATTCATGAAGCATTCCATATTTTAAAAAAAAGAATTAACAAATAATTAGTATAATGCTTTTAAGTGTTAGAAAGGAAAATAAACCAGAATAAGGCAATAAAAGTTGACTGCTGGAACCTATGAGTCTTCTAGAATGATCAGGGTGGGTCTCTCTAGGGGCATCTGAGCAGAGCCCTGAAAATGAGGGAGTAAATTGTCAATGGAAAAGCCACAAGCTTGGAGTCAGACTGTCCTGCTAACTGCAAACTACTTACAGGCTGTGCGGCCTTGGACAAATGACTAAACTTTTCGGAGCCTTAATTTCCTCATCTATAAACCTGGTGATAATCTATACTTGCCTTGTAGAGTTATGAGAAAAAGGAAGGTATGTTTTTAAAGTACCTGGCTTAAGATAAATTCAGGGTTAGGCCCACAATATACACATACAGCTGAATTCCATACTGCCCTTCTTGCTAGGCCAAGAATCCTCCTTCCAGGTCCGGAGGCATTGCCCACCTACCTTTCTTCCCCCTTCTCCAAAAGAACTGAAGACTCCCCCCCCCCCCCAGGTCAGGCAAATGGATGCAGTGTGGTCCAATAGTGCCCCCTGCTGACAGGATGCTGCATCGCAGCTCTCTGGTTCCTTCATCTCTTCCAAAAGCCCTCACCACCTGCCAGGCCCATGGATGGAGTTGGAGGAAAGATCCTCTCTGCCCTCTAGGAGTTCATGATCTAAGGGCTGGGCCTAACATGAGAACAAGCAATGACAACCCAGAGAGGAGGTGCCAGCATCAAAGAAACTATACAAGCACAAGGATGAAATGAGTAACTCTTGGGGGGGGGGGGGTGTGATTTGAAAGACTTCACAGCAGGTGACTCCTAAAGCACACTTTGAATAATGAACATGAAATGGGTGAGGGGAAGGCATTTCGGACAGAGGGAATAGTACCTACAAAACCAGAGAGGCTGGCTCAGTGTCCATAGCACAGTGGTTATGACTCTGGCCACATGAATCAAGGCTGGCTGGTTCAAACCCAGCCTGGGCCAGCTAAACAACGACAACTGCAACAAAAAATAGCCAGGCATTGTGGTGAGTGCCTGTAGTCCCAGCTACTTGGGAGGCTTAGGCAAGAGAATCACTTAAGCCCAAGAGCTTAAGGTTGTTGTGAGCTGTGATGATGCCACTGCACTCTACCGACAGTGACATAGTGAGACTCTGCCTAAAAAAAAAACAAAAAAAACAGGGAGGCACAAAAGAAGACACTGATTGGTCTGAGGTGCTCTACTTGATCATGCTACACTTTTGGAGTTTCCTGCCTAAGCAGCTTGAAGAATAAAAAGGAAGGAAGCTGGTTCCTAGGCTCTCATGAAGCTCTGCTAGGCCCATCTCTGGAAAAGCAAATCCTCTCAAAAGCGAGCTCCCTTCCCCACCCTACCCCTAATAGACAGGGTCTCCCATGTCCTATGTTCCCATACCTGGTCTCCTTTACCCTCTCATAAAATGGCCCATCCATCTGCAACCTTCGCCAGGTCTCCTCCCTGCTAGGGCCTCAGTCTCCTCCTCAGCAGAGTAGGAAAAGAACTTTGTCCACATCTCTCTCAATTAGTCACTTGAGTCAGCAGCTATGAAAGTTCCTGGTACTGTAAGGGAAAGGACTCAAGATGTGAACCAAGCTCCCCAGCAGCATCCCAGTCCATCCACAACCTAAGACGCTGATGGAGGGAGATGATGTCACAGCTCAGTCCTCCAGTTGAACCTCAGAGCACGTCCACTGCTCACAAACCCCCATAAAATTCAACGACCCATGAGGTTTTGTTTCAGGTGTTTTATTAAGTGGGCCATACTGTAGCTGGTTTCTAAGTTGCAAAACAACATAAATTTAACAATAACATAGCCAGTTAGATTGTGACAAGCTTTCCCTCTCCTTAAAAAAAAGAAAAAGAAATACTTAAAACATACAATGGAGGGTTAAATAAATAAGACATCAAAAAAGAAAAAAGAAGGAAAAAACCTGTTAAGACATGCTTATGCTTACTTCTGTGCAACAGTGTGCCAACAGGAAATGCGACTTTCAACACGATGACATGTCCCGGCACGTCTCCTTTCCAAATAATACTGACAAAAAAGAAAAGATGTGGACTGACTCATCGTGCTTACTTAGAGGCACTACTAAAAATCCCTTTGATTGGAGCAGGGGGCTTCCCGCTCAGCACACCTGTGTGGCCCGTGAAAGCCAAATATCCATAATAATGTTAATATAGAAAATATTAGTTTAAAAACAATGTGGAATGGCCTCATTAATGTGACAGGGGCAAGGAAGTAGAACTGCCCCCCACACAGCCGCAGGCTCAGTCCAGGGAGGCTGCAGGCTTCCAGCACATGGCCATGGCAAGGGAGGGTACCAGCTTCAAAATAAGCAGCACCAACCTCGCTCCCTCTCCCTATCACTCTTTCACATGAAAGTGTGTAAAAAGTAAATCAGCAAATAAACTCTAAAATAGATTATTTATTCCAAAAATCCTCTAGTTTTCTTTTTACAATGAATACACATCCTCTCCATCTCCTGCACAACTTCCTTAAGTCCCTGTAGGAAGAGATGCAGGGTGAGAGACTTTCTTAGTCTCCTGCTGCTGGCTGGTGCTAGGAGGTCAGATGTCGATGCCCTTGACAAGGGACGTCTCCAGGGTGATGTTGAACTCTTGCAATGTCTGCAGCACTCGGATCAAGGAATTGACAAGTGTGTGGTCTTTGATCAGTGCCACATCCTCATACATATGTGCAGTGATGGGGCAGTCAGCCAGCAGGGCAATCCAGTGGTGTAGAAGGTGATCTCTGACAGAGCAGCAACAGCCCAGGCAGGTGAAGGGAGAGGAAGGGAGACAGTTAATAAAGCCAACAGGGAAACTTTGAACAAAGTATGAAGCTGAAAAAGCTGACAGCTTCACTACCGCCCCCTTTCCCTCCCTAACTGAGCTTGACAATGAAGTCTTCTAAGCCCAGGGACATCAACCCAACCTGACCCAGATCAGCCCTGTCACCTGTTCCCATGGCTTCTTTTCCTCCCCTACCTCCCTCACCCTCCCTAGACAACCCACCACCAGATAGACACCAGGCTGCGTTCTGCACTCCTCCCTCCATCTCAGCAGTCAGTCTCTCCCAGAGCATCTCTCCTCCCTGTACTAACCACCACTAGCACTCACATAGCACTTGGCACATGCCAGCACTGTTACATAGGATTTAATCTTCATGATAACCCCACAACGTGAGGTATATAGAGGTTAAACGGCTTGTCCAAGATCACAGGCTAGTAAATGGCTAACCTGGGATGTGAACCTAGTGAATCTGGTTCTAGAGCCTGTTTTTAATTTGTTTTTAAATTTCAGGTTAATGTGAAGGCACAAACAACAATATTTGAATTTGTTAGGTAGAGTCCCTCTTGTAGTTGTGTACCACACCCAAAAGGTGTGCCATACCCCCCTACACTGTGCCCATTAAGTGGGAGCACACCTATCCCTCCTCCCTTCCCCCGTTTCCTCTTCCCCCAACTTCAACTGAAATGAGTTTTACTCCTCTGTGAGTGTGTATTAGAGCATCTACTGGCTTCATATTAGTATAGAGTCATTTGATGTTTGTTTTTCCATTCTTGTGATACTTTGCTAAGAATGTGTTTCACCTCCATCTAGGTTAATACAAAAGATGTAAGGTCTCCATTTTTTATGGCTGAATAGTATTCCATGGTATACATATACCACAGTTTGTTAATCCATTCCTGAGTTGAAGGGCATTTAGGTAGAGTGAACTTACATAAAACTAGATGGTAGATGGTCTAGCCTACTAGATACCTGAGCTCTATCGCACAGCCTATCGCTCCTAGGGTACAAACCTATACAGCATGCTGTTGTACTGAATACTGTAGGCAATTAAAACACAATGACAAGTATCTGGGTATACTTGTAAACACAGAAATGGCACAGTAAAAATACAGTATTATCATCTTACAAGACCACTGTGCCATAAATGGTCAGATGCTGACTGAAAGATCGTATGTGGTATGTGACTATACACGACACACAGAAGAAATTAAGGGCCTTTTGGAAGTCCTCCAAAGATGCCCAAATCCATCAGATCATTAACCACTCTCCACCCCCGCAACAACAGGCCTCCAGCACCACCTCCGAAGCTGGCTGTTGTGCACTCTGGGCCCTGAGGCTGCATACCTGGCTCCCAAGCACACCAGCATCTGAAACTTCCCATCCTTGCCAATGTTCCGGGGAGTATTGTTGATTGCAGTGACAAATCTGCAGAAGTTCCGGGCCCTTGTATGCCAGTTTTCCTCAGGAACTACCTCATTCTGCTCTAATGTCTCGTAATAGGTTTGTGCTTTTTCTGTGAAGAGTAGAAAAGCTTGACAAAGGCTCTCAACACCAACCTATCTCTGATTGTCCTGCAGGCCATGGGTCTCTCCTAGTCCATGAAGGTAACTTAATAGGAATAACATGAATGTTCTGATGTCACTGGTCACTCTTCAAAATGATCCTTACGTTCCTTATTTTAAAGTTTTATTGATGTGTCCCTTGATATAAAGATGGCTTTTCTCTGGTCTAAAGGCACAAGAAAACTCTGAGGATGGTTTCTCGAATGAAAATGCTCCAAGTGGGCATAACATAGGGTGTGGACGCCAATACTATTAACTGGCCTTTGGAGCTAAAAGGGGAGGACTCACAGCTAAGCCCATACTAGATAACAGATGTCTAGAAAGAATCTTTTGTGTCCAATTCTCAGGACGTAAGTGTTCAAAAGAGGGGAAGGAGAGATCCTGTCGTTCCCTTCAAAAGAACAGGGAAAACAAATAAGAGATCTAACCTGAGAGTCACCTGATTTGGGTTTTGCACCTCAGACCCTAGTTGTCAGCACCCATGTTATGCTGGTGAGTCCCCCTATGTCTCTGCGTGTTTTTTCCACCCTCATACCCAACTCACCCAGGAAATCCCAAATGAAGACATTTTTGAAGAGACGGGGTGATTTAAATCCATGCTGGAAAGCC